ATTACCAAACACAACCCTGGGATTTGTGGTTCAGAATGTCCCAGAGGGTAAAAGATATACTCTGGCCAATCTTTTTGGAATATTTTCAGGCCCTGGTTTTGCCCTCCCCAACTACAGGTGTGCAAGAGAGGGCATGTTAGCTGCTGTACTTACAGGACCATCCTGGGCACTATCTGAATACATAGGGACACTGCTGGATCTTTATAAATTTCCACAGGTGAGAAAGAGTGAACAGATAAGACATGATGTCGGATGTGCTTGAGGATGCTTTTGGTGTCTTAGGGAAAACCGAGAAATTCAATTACTCTTATTGGGTAGTAAAGGACGCAGACGTTTGGTAATGCATCTGTATTTATGTAGCATAGCATAGGGAGAAGGGAAAGGGTGGAATATAGAAAGCACAGTATTGAACTTCTGATATATTCTGTACTTCTCTGGAAACCCATAGGAAGGCAACTTTGACCTTCTAAGCAATATTGTACTACATGATTCAAATCATTGCTGGAAAATTGAGTTGAATTTTATAACAGTCTTCTTGGGTCTGATTTTTTTTCTCTGCAGCTTACTTTTGGGCCTTTTGATACTATCCTGAGTGAACATAGACAGATCTCTTCCCTGTACCAGGTGGCCCACAAGGACACATCTCTGTTTCTTGGAATTGCATCTTTAATGCTCCATTTTCATTGGACCTGGGTTGGGCTTTTTATTATAGATGATGACAAAGGTGCCCAGATTCTGTCAGATTTGAAAGGTGACCTGGAGAAAAATGGAGTCTGCATAGCATTTGTGGAAATGATCCTGGTCACCAGGGGTTCGTTTCTCACCACATCCTGGAAAAATCAGGTGCAGATCCTGGAATCAACGGCCAATGTGATTATTATTTATGGTGACTCTGATTCCCTACTGAGCTTAATTGTAAATATTAAGCAGAAGTTATTTACATGGAAAGTCTGGGTCCTGAACTCGCACTGGGATGTTGCTAAATTTGATAACTATTTCCTGCTAGATGCATTGCATGGTTCCCTTATTTTTTCACACCATAAAGAGGAGATTATTAATTTCACAGATTTTATTAAGACAGCCAATCCTTTCAAATACCCAGAAGACATTTATCTTCATGTACTGTGGCATTCATTCTTCAATTGCTCGTTTTTGAGGAAAGATTGTAAAATTGTGGATAACTGTCTGCCTAATGCCTCCTTGGAGTTCTTGCCAGGGAATATATTTGACATGGCTATGAGTGAAGAAAGTTACAATGTGTACAATGCGGTGTATGTTGTTGCCCACAGTCTACATGAGATGATGCTCAATCACATACAATTTCAAACTGGTGGAAAAGGAAAAGAGATGGTTTTCTTTCCCTGGCAGGTAATACCATATCTATAATATTATACCAGCAGCAACATGACACTCTAAGGCTATATAAATTCACTCAAACTAGAAAATACATATTTTAGATTATTTTGGTAAAATTTGCAGGATGGACTTTGTTTCAAATCAATACATAGTTATATTACCAAGGAGCCTACAATATTTTCTGGGTAATATTTTCCATATAAAAAGTTGATTTAACCCAGAGATTTCACACAACAGAAAATTCAGAGACACAGAACTCTCTCAATGAACATGAAGACTTTGAAAAGGCTTATGTTTAGTTAATTATCATTCATTAAATCATTCAGTTTACATAGTAAAACCCTAAATTTTAAGACTCACTTGGGTATTACTTTATTTTCAAAATGGGTGAGTTTTCTCTATACACATTCATGATTTGGGAGTGCATGGTTCTACAATTTTCAATGAATATTTTTGGAATATTTTAGAAGCATAATGACACTTTCATTATCCTTGGGTATCACTTGATTGATGTGACTGATACCCATATTAAAGGTGCTTATCACATCACGGACTAACATTAATAAGAGATGTTCCCTGATTCTGCCATTGTTGCAGTTTTCTGGAGTTTATATAACATAGGAGCATGCATCTTTTTTTAGCTTCACCCTTTTCTAAAGAACAAACAACCCTTCAATCATACTGGAGACCAGGTGGTTGTGAATTGGAAAAGGAAATCACATGAAGAATATGACATTCTCAATTTTTGGAATTTTCCAAAAGGTCTTGGGTTAAATGTGAAGGTAGGATCATTTTCTCCAAATGCTCCAGAGGGCCAGAAGTTGTCCTTATCTGATCATATGATCCAGTGGGCCATGGGATTAACAGAGGTGGGTTTCATCTTATTTCAGTATTTTGACCTGCATGTAAATTTAAAACTTATATTTCTGTTTATCATAAACTTTCACTGCTCAAACAGGGCCTGTTTATAGACCCAAATGAACACCAATATATACAACTGTCTTCATATCCAATTTTGTTAGATGAACTCTTTATTTTCCACTCCGCTCCTTTATTTAATGTCATAATCATAATATCTGTTTCATAATTATCTCTATCATTGTCATGAGTCACAACAAATTTATTTTGACACCAGCCTGGAAGGGTTAAGTCAATAGTCAGTTGGCCTTTTGCTTTTAGACCCCTGTCAATGCAGAAGAGTAGGTTTGGAATGTTTTAGTTGTTTATTGGCTGTTGCAAAAAATGCTACCTAACAAAGAGTATGAGAGGATTTTTTTCTTGACTCACAGTTTGAGGGTATATTCAGTCACTACAGAGAGCCATCATTTTAGGCAGTAGAGTTATCTGCTCACATTGCATCAACAGTCAGGGTGCAGATACAGCTAAATGCTACTATTAACACTATTTCTCCATTTCATTCATTGTGACCAGGGCCAATGAAGCAGTGCCACCCACTTTAGAGAGGATTTTTAACCTCAAGTAACCTAATCTACAAAAACTTTCACAATCATTCTCATAGGTTCGTTTCCACATTGGTTCTAAGACCTGTGAAGTTGACAGGATGAACCATCACTATGCTTTGTATCCAGGAATCAAGATACAGTGCATTTTTAGTCTCACCAAGACATGCTATGAAGCACTTAAAGTTTTACCTCTTTACCTTGCCTCATTATCTTTCAAGAGTTTTCCCTCAAAGTCATGTTATTTGAGACATGTGTTGTCCACATGGGCCTTTGATTGACTCACCCTATTATTAGAGACAATTCAACTATCTGCATATACAAACAATTTTTAAAACTGGTAAATATTTAAAAACACTCTACCTATTACAGATTTCATATACACCTGAATATTTTCTACCATTCATTGTTTTTCTCAGATTCCGCAGTCTGTATGCAGTGTGAGTTGTGAACCTGGATTCAGGAAAACCCACCAACAGGGCAACATTGCCTGTTGCTTTGACTGTACCCCTTGCCCGGAGAATGATATTTCCAATGAGACAGGTAAATATCAGTAATGCAAAAAAAATCCACACTTGCCACTTCTGCAAAATCAAAGGAAATGAAAAAAATCACTAAATGTACTATATTCAGTTTACATCAGTGAAGACAATCCTCTTCATTCTACCTGATAGAAAACTGTAGGTTACAGTTCCCTTTCCTACTGAAATAACACACTCTTGACGTTGAAATTCATACCTGCTTTGTTTTCCTGAGTTATTGGGGATATGGCTCCCTATAGGTACCTGGTCTTCTTGTACCAGAGAGGTATGGTTCATTTCACCATGACGTTTGCCTTAGTGTCATTTCTGTTGGTATGAAAAGGCACTATGACCAAGCAATTTATAAAAGAAGGCTTTTAAATGGATGTATAGTTTCAGATGTTTAGAGTCTCCAAAGGCAAATCAAAGCCAGGTATAGTGGTTTCAATGATTCAAAGTCTTCCACATTTGTCCTAACTAATTGCTTGGTCATATTGTTCATTCCATAGCCTATTCCTTGATACCAACTTTCACTTAAGTTTCTCTTCTATTAAAAGAAACCATGACCAATGGAACATATAAAATGATGCACTAAGATTGGAGCATTCATTTCAGAGCATTCATACCATGGTTTTGGAGCAATACTTGGCAAGTATGAATAGATGAGACATCACATCTGATACATATTGGATCCCTGGCTATTGGGTTCCTCCATCAATGTAATAAGTTAAATATAGCCAAATTAATAAAGATAGGTTTAATAAACAGAACAAAGAAATTCATGGGTGACTGTCAGAAAGGCAGGAGAGAAAATTACATGGAAGGTATGGAGACCCAGTTTGGAGACCTAGGCTTAAGCAGGTCTGTATGCAGTTGAACAGTGTCAGGGAACAAGCTGATCATGCTGGGCTTTCTGAGGGGCAGGGTCTGGAATGGGAGAAATGAGTCAGGGTTCCGAGTCAGACATCGCTGTGGGGTGTGAGTTACTAGGTGAGTGTGAGACCAGAGTGGGATCACCAACAACATGTTCCTTCACAAGAAAAAGGAATAGAGAGCCCATTGGAAAGCTTTTAGTTCTTTTTAACCTCAAAGTCCCCAACCCACCACATCTCTACAAAGCCATACTTCCCAATCCTTCCTAAAATATTCCACCAAATGGGAAACAAGTATACAAATAAATGAGACTGTGGGTGCTGACCAAGAGAGAGTTGATCACATGCCAACTAAGTACCAACTTTTCATAGTGATCACTTAAGGACCCTTTTGTGATTCTCACCTTTTGCATCTCCAAAACC